GTCCATATGTCCAGGCTACCCATGATCAGCGAGCCCAATTCAAAATTTCATTTCAAGCACTATCTGTTCACTCAATATCAATTTGCTCAAATATAGTACTATTTAGTAGTTTTTGTGCACTCGTAGTTCATATTCCCAAAATCAGCTCTTTAACACAAACCTACAAGGATCCTAATACAAAAAATCAAAATTCCAGATCAGTAAGATCACCCGAAACTAAATGTTCAAAATTAAGTACCATTTAGTACAGTTCGCACACTTAGAACACATTTCCAAAACCACCATCATATTTCCAACTTTTCAACCTGGATTCTCATCCTATCCATCCGTATAATACCAAATCGCACCATTTTGGAAGTTTGGTACCATTTTAGAGCTTTTCGTGACATTTAAGTTCGAATTTCCAGAAACGCTTTGGTGCATCGTCTATCCTACACTCCATAAGTATCTCTCAATCCATATTTCATTCCGTTTGTCCGATACAAAGTATTTAAGTTTTAGTACTTTTCGAATTTCCAAAAACTCAAAATTGTAAGGCTCTAGGCCAGTCAGCCAGTTATTTCACCTGTTGCACCTTCCCATGTAAGTGCCATCCCCGTGCAAAAGCGTTACTCCAATTTAAAATATAGTCAAAATATATTCTCCTAGATGTAAATGAACCCTAAAGTTATAGGAGCAGAACGTCTATCCATTTCTTCATAGAGCTGTCAATAACCTAACAAAACGATTAGTTCTTGTTCCACCCAATACCCATTGTGCAACAACTCTTACACACACAACTAAACAAGCTCATTATACAGTCCATTACACATATGTATGTACGTAGAGCCGCCGCAATGATAATCTTTCGCGTAATTAGCAGCTCCTGATGTGGTTCTACATTACAAAATAACCTCCTACTGTTAATTGTTGACGATCTTCTTTCCAAACGTACGCTACGAAGAGAGAGTGACCCGCATGCAAAGATACATTTATCATCATTTTTTTGCATATTAACAACAACAACAACAACAATTTACAATGATTTTGATTTTATTTTCATTTTAATACAAAATCCCCCTTCCAACCGGTACTGGAGTTGTTGTATTGTTGCTTTCGTTATAGTCGATGCTTTCTTTTATGCCATTCACTCGCTATCGCTGTGGCCCCAAACTGAGTTCAGGCTGAAACGTTTGTGATTTGTCTATATTTGGAGTTGCGGTGCTGAATTAATTTATGTTTTATTTTCATTTTTTATTACACACAGAGATTGGCTGCACCCTACGTGCGGTTGGAGAGTGGCTTTGGGTGTTTGATTGGCGTTTGTAACAGAGGCAAATTTTTATTTCATTATTTCATTTAATTTTCATTTATTTTTTTAACAAAATATCCAGTCTGGCGACCATAGGCTGTATACTAAAATTTAATGATACGACTGAAACACTTCAATAATTATAGGAAATAAAATAAATCTTTGGAAGGTTTTGGAACTGCCCATCAAAAATAATTGAAAAACAACTCTCCCAAAACGATGATGGGCATATGAATACTTTTTCGAATTATACTTCTATAGCTATTTCATGAACATAGAAGAACATAAAGGTCGTTCTATAACGCTATAACTATTTTAGCATATAGTCGCATTCGCCTACCCCTTTTAATACACATCTTCTTAAACGTATCTTAATTTTAGGTTCTAATCTTATTGCTCTTTAAATCTAAAAATTTTTTTAACTTAATCAATCTCTCTCTATCCCTCTCTCTCTCTCATAAATTAATTTCACTCTCTCAATTGTATGAAAATACCATTTTTGACTCTCCAATAACTCGGATTTTAATATACCCTCAGTTATATAACTACAGAGCGTATATATCATTTGATACGGCCAAAACGTGCCTCATCGAAATAAAGGTTCTAGACTGTAGGTCCCTTTAGACCAAATCCTTTTTAGAACATTTCGAGAGCACTTGGATCTACAGGTGTCCGTTCGTCTATTTATCTGGCTGATGTCCACTATAACTCTCGAAGGAAGTATCCGATTTGATCCAAATTTTGTACATTGCAATATTATTGTCAAACTTAGATCGAGTGGGCAATATAGGTACCTCCCCCACAAAAGGTCAAAATTTTCATAGAAAATAATTTTTCGTATATAACAAGAACAGATCATTTAATTTTGTTCAAATTTTGCAAGTTCCAATATTTGTATCAGTGCTATGTCAGATGTGAAAATTGACAATATCGAACCACCTCCATCACACATGTACCTCCCTCACAACGGGTCAAACTTTTGAATAATTTTAACTATTATAAAATACAAACTAAGCATACGATTCTCCCAATCCCAATATTTCTATTAACACAAGACCTGGTGTGAAGTTGATATATGTTAGCCCACCCCTTCTAGTACCTCCTCCACAGAGGTTCAACATTTTGAATAATTATATATTTTATAATTTGAGAAATAAGCACCGTATTCTCTTAAAATTTCCCACATTCCAATATATCTATAAACACAAGATCTGGAATGAAGATGAAATGTATCGGCCCACTTCTTCTGGGACCTCCACCACAAAGGAGTCAAAATTTTGATTAACTATGAAGCTCATAAAACGCGGTTATAAACTTTATTATTTTCAAACTTGGCATAGCTCATTATTTCTACTAACACAAGACCTGGTGTGAAGATGGAATATATCGGTCTACTCCTTCTGGTACCTCCAACGCCAAGGGATCTAAATTTTGAATTACCAATACGCTTATAAATAAAAAGTGGCGTCCGAATACTCTCAATTTTCACATTTCAATTTTTGGTATGAAGATGAAATGTATCGGTCCAATTTTTCTGGAACTCCCCCTAAAAAAGGTCAAAATTTTGAATAGTCAAAACGCGACTTAAGCTTCCAAAGCCCTGTCACAAGTGTCACACAAACCAATATTAACCAAAGGTCTGACGTGAAGATGAAATATATCGGTCCACTCCTTCTGGTACCTCCCCCAAAAAAGGTCAAAATTTCGAATATCCAAGCAGATAAAACGCGAACTTAACATCCGAGTTCTATATTTAAAAGTGTAATTTTGAAGTGCTTCGTGATTAAGGCTGGTGTTTCCAATTCGTCATGAACTATTGTTATGAGCATTCTGGTATTGGTATTCTTTGATCGTGTTTTTCTCTTTGTTTTCGATAGTTTGTGTTTGGAATTGGAATTGAAAGTCATGTACGACGATGTGGAGATTTTTCGAAACGTACTTGTCATGACAGTCACGATATAATTTTATAGCATCACTCAATAGGCAAGAAGTGTCTTCTGATTGAAGATTTTAAATAAAACAAGTTAAAAAGCAGTAATTTCGGTCGGGCGGAACTTTTAATACCCTCCACCATTTGGAACGAATTTGGAATATTCAAAAAAAAAAAAAAAAAAAACTTAAAACATTCTGATAAAATTTTAAAAATACCGAATATAGCCGTTATATTGGGGTCTATACGACGTGGACCTACATAGGCATTGTTTGTCATAAGCCATTACCATATTCAAATTCGAAACTTGAAATAAACGGTGAATAACGAAGCTAAAATCATCAGAATATCGTATATAGAGAGGTACCGTTATATCGGTGCTGTGCGAAGACCTGAACCAGCATAGACAATATTCTGCCATAGGCTGTAGCATCCATTACGAACTTCAAATACGACATCTCGAACAATTTTGGTGGGTGTTGTACTTAAAATCGTTAAAATACCAAATATAGGGAGGTACTGATACGTGGGGCCTATACGAAGACCTGGACATGCAAAGACAATTTTCTGTTACAGACTGAAGTTCCCATTACGAACTCTAAATACGTAATTTGAAAAAATTCCGGTGAATAATGACGCTAAAATCATCAAAATACCGAATATTGGGAGGTACCGTTATATGGAGGTTATACGAAGACGTGAACCTGTATAGACAATTTGCTGCCTTAGGCTGTAGTATCCATTTCGAACTTCAAATGCCAAATTTGAAACATTTCCGATGAATAAGGTTGCTTAAGTTGTTGTTTTTTATTGTTGACCTGTATATTGTTTCTTATTAACTTTATTTTGGCTTAAGGTCAATTGAAAAACATCAGTGTTTTATTTTTATAATTTTGATTTTTATTTTCCGATATTTCGACTGTCTTCGACAGTCATCTTCAGGGAAAAAAAAATTTATTGAGAAAAGCAACAGTCTTGTTTCACCGTCTATGCTAAACTCTCTTAAATCACCAAAATACCGAACATAGGGAGGTACCATTATATGGGGGATATACCAAAATGTGGACCTGCATGGCCCATTTTCAATATCAAAAGTCCTGCAGACATAATATACATTTGAGTAAAATTTTATCAACCTACTTCATTTTGTTCGGAAGCTAGAGTGATTTCCACCGACGGACAGACGGGCGGACTTCGTTAAATCGGCATAGAATTTTGTATTCATCAAGAATATATATACTTTGTGGGGTCTAAAATGTATATTTCGAGGTGTCATAACGTAATATGCCCTCCATACTATGGTGGAGGGTATAAAAAAATTGGATGATTCTTCTTGTTCTATGCGGTAGAATATTTTCTGTGAAAGTTTTGATCTCTTGTGGGGGATGTACCAGAAGATGTGGACCGATGTTGCCCATCCCCGAAGTCAATCTAAGTTTGACAATAATATTACAATGTACCAGGTTTGGATCTAATTGGATACACCCTTCGAGAGGTATCGTGCGTATCAGCCAAACGGGCGAGGTGTTACCAAAGAAATGACAACGTTAATATCCATCTCTATCTTATGGTGAAGGTAGAGACATAAATTTGTTAATGCGATTATGCTATAATTTTATCCATAAGTAACACAAAGCGATTACTATCGGTTTGCTAACGCAGCCAACCAGCCGGCGGTCGAGTATTACTCTCACAGCCGAGGTGTTTGCTGTGTTTATGTTTCGTTGCGGTTGTGGCTTTTATTTTATTTTGCTTTGTTTTTGTTGTCGTGGTTGTTGTGATTTTGCTTTTTCAAACCCCAAGCTGAGCTCAAATGTTTAGTTTCTTTTACACGCCACAAACAAATCCACTTCAGTACGGTTTGTGTAGCGTTCGCAGTAATTGCAATCGTAGAAAAGTAAATAAATCCGTAAGCTAGACAGGCAGACAGACAGACAGAGGCAAGATCACTCGAACGTAATCGAGCCTTAATAAAAAATAGAAAAAAAAAAAAAACAAGAAATATAATAACAACAACAAAAAACCTTAATTATCCGGCTATTCAAAGTAAAGATATATCTATAATCTATTCGCAACGAAACGGAGTGCCGTTCGGCCTAGACATTAGCTGGTCCGGTCAAATATTTGAAAACTAGTTTCCAGTTGCAGAGAAAAGTTTTTTCTATTTTTTTGTGAAAAGTGGAAAAATTAAAAAAAAAAAAATGTGAAATTAAAATGAAAAGTGAAATTCAATATCAAAAACAGAAAAATGTTACTAATGGAGATTTAAAAAAAAATACAATGAAATAATTATCTTCTAAATCTGTTTTTAAATTTCTGTTCAATGGTGATTGTAACTGAATTCTTTTGTGCGACGTCTCCACTGATATCACAACAAATATTCGCTTTAAAAAAATATGTGCAATTAAAATGCAATTAATGGCTGAGCAGAATAATTGAAGAATAAAAAAAAATACGAATAAAAATATTTTTATTTCCAAGAGAGTTTAATATAAATATATGAGTATACATATATTGATATATGTCTGTTTGTACATAAAAAGCGTTGATTTGGTCTAGCAACATTTTGTAAACTGCTCTAAGTGACAACTTAAATTATGACAACATCGTTTGTTTAAGAAACTCCTAAAAATTGGGGACAGCATTACAGGCTCGATGTTTCAATTTCGGAACAAAACTAAATATTTTAGCCAAAAATACAAAATGTTAGTCAATTCCGTTAAAAATGTTATTTAGACCACAACAATTTAAGGATATATGAAGGTCGCTTAAAAACCTGGATCCACTAAACACTTTAAATATTTTAGCCAAAAATACAAAATTTTACTCAATTCAGTTGGAAAATGTTATTTTGACCATTGAAATGACGAATAAGTTTTGCGACGATTTTTTGTAGAACTTCAGGATTACTCAACATTTTGAGCCTTTCTAGGAGATGTACCAGAAGGGGTGGACCGATATCATCTTCATACGCTCAAGCAGAAATTTTGTACACTGCCCTAAGTGACAACTTAAATTATGACAACATCGTTTGTCTTAAAAACCCCTTCAGCTAAAATACATTATTTAGACCATCAAAAATACGGCAATTTAAGGATATATGAAGGTCGTTTAAAAATCTGGATCCACTGAACATTTTAAATATTTTAGCCAAAAATACAAAATTTTAGTCAATTCAGTTGAAAATTGTTATTTAGACCATTGAAAAAATACAAAATTTTAGTCAATTCAGTTGAAAAATGTTATTTAGACCATTGAAATGTCGAAAAGTTAAGGATATCTATGAAGGCCCTTTCAAAACTTGGGTCCACAGCGAACAATTTTTGCGAGGATTTTTTTTAGAACTTCAGGGATACTTAACATTTTGACCCTTTGTAGGGGAGGTAACAGAAGGAGTGGACCGATATATCTCATCTTCACACGGTCAAGCAGAAATATTGTCACTGCCCTAAGTGACAACTTAAATTATGACAACATCGTTTGTCTTAAAAACCCCTTCAGCTGAAATACAATGTTTAGACCATCAAAAAGCAGACAATTTAAGGATATATGAAGGTCGTTTAAAAATCTGGATCCACTGAACATTTTAAATATTTTAGCCAAAAATACAAAATTTTACTCAATTCAGTTGAAAAATGTTATTTAGACCATTGAAATGTCAAAAAGTTAAGGATATATATGAAGACCCTTTCAAAACTTAGATCTACACCGAACAAATTTTGCGAGGATTTTTTTATAGAACTTCAGGGATACTCAACATTTTGAGCCTTTGTAGGGGAGTTACCAGAAGGGGTGGACCAATATATCTCATCTTCACACCAGACTTTTTGATACCCTAATTTATGATACCTTACACCACTTTGCATATTTAGTAGAGCTTCACATAACAAATAAAAGTTTTAATGGCGAATTTATGAGAATTAAATCATACCAACAATGATTATACGGGTTGTCCATATTCGACGGACCTTTGGGCCCATTCCAATCGACGAGGCTTGTCCGCAGGCAACATTCTTTGCGTTAATTGAATTTTGTACGGGAACAAATGCAAATCAATGCGAATAATCCGTTGTAAAGTGGACCGAGCCATGCCCATCTGCTGAGAACGGCGTTTTTGGGATGTTCTTGGGGACCTCTCAACACTGGCTCGTACGGCAGCGATATTCTCGGCCGATCGCCTTGGTCAACTTTTATATGGCCTCTTCGGATTAGAAAGAGCCTTACCAGTCGAAAATTTTTCGTATAAACGCTTAATGGTGTTCTTAGAAGGCGCACTTCTCACATTTTTTAATGTTTTAAAAGCACGTTGAGTTTTCAAAATTGACTTCTTCTGTTGAATGTAAATTTCAACTATTTCAGAGCGCTTGCGTGGCGTGTATTGGTTTATGGTAAAAATCTGCTTGGACTGACGCTTCAAACGCGGTATGTCATTAAGCGATGTGACATCTCTTTCAAAAGTTATGGCGATGGGTCCGTCGAATATGAAGAACTCTGTAGTACTAATTAAAAGTCCAAAGGAACTAATAATATATGGGAGGAATATCCTCCTCTGAATCGATTTCTACTAAATTTGCCGAGACATTTGCGCCTTTTCAATTCGGGGTTGTATTATCCATTTTTGATGCACAATTGACTAGAAATCGGATAGATATATATGTGAGAGCTATATCTAAATCTAAACCGATCTTGATAAAATTTGGCAAAGGTATTTCTGAGTTGCATTTAATATATTTCCCCAAATATCGTTGTTACAGAGTGCTTATTACGGCTGGGGAGGACAAAAATAACAAATCGCTTGAACAAAATATATGGGAGCTATAGCTATATCTGAATCGATTTTGATCAAATTTGGCACACTTATTTTCAGGCTTAATTTGGTCATACGTGTAAAAAGGCATACTATTCGGACTGATATTACACGTTTGGTGCACAATATAAGGTAAACCGGACGAAGATATATATGGGAGCTATACCTTAATTTTGACCGATTATCTCCTATTTCAACAGGGTTCGTCCTTGGGTCAAACAAATGATTTGTTCAAAATTTCATCTCGATCGGATAGTAAATGCGACCTGTACTTTGTTTACAAAAATACATGGACAGACAGACGATCGGACATGCATAAATCGACTCAGAATGTGTTTCTATGCAGATCATCAAAAGGAACTATGGGTCTTTCTCGCTTCCTTTTGCCTGTTACAAACAAATGCACAAAGACATAATACCCCGACCACCTTGTGGTGTGGAGTATAAATTGGTACAATGGGCAATATAGGTCCACTCTTTCTGGTACCTCCCCCCACAAAAGGTCGAAATTTTCAAAAAAAAAAAAAAAAAAAAAAAAAACAATTTTCTGCACAAAATGAGAAACCATAATCCAATTCTGCTCCAACTTGCGAAAATGGACAATATCTGTCCACTCCATAAAGTACCTCACCACACAGAGGGTCAAAATTTTGAATAATTACAATTCTTATAAAATGTGATGTAACAGCCTGATTGTTTTCAACTTTCAAACATCCAAATAATTTTATTAACCCAAGGTCTAATAATATGGAATATATCTATCCACTCCCTCTGGTACCTCCCTCGCAAAAGGTCGAAATTTTCAAAAAAAAAAAAATTCTGCACAAAATGAGAAACCATAATCCGATTCTGCTCCAACTTTGCAAATCCTAATATTTGAGTCAGTCCTAGGTCAGGTGCGAAAATGGACAATATCGGTCCACTCCATCAAGTACCTCCCCACAAAAGGTCAAAATTTTGAATAACTATAACTCTTATAAAATGTGATGTAACATCCCGAAATTAACATCCTATTCCATTTAGACTTGGCACATTTAAACATTTCTATCAACACAGGATCTGTTATAAAAACGATAGAGATCGGACCATTCCTTCTGGTACCTTCTCCACAAGGGGTTAAAGTTCTGAATAACCAGAACGTATATAAAATTCGAAATAAGCATCAGGTTCTCTTACATTTCACACATTCCATTATTTTTCCTAACATAAGTATACTCTGAAGATGGGATATATCGGTCCACTCCATGTGGTACCTCCGCCACAAAGGCTCAAAATTTTGAATATCCATGAAGCTCATAAAAAGCGAAATTGACATCCGATTCCATTCCAGACTTGGTATATTTTAAATATTTCCATCAACACAAGATGTGTTATAAATATGGTAGAGATCGGACTATTTCTTTTGCTACCTGTCCCACATAGTGTTCAAGATTTTGAAAAACAAAACGCTCAAAGAAAACGAAATAAGAATCCAACTCTCTTCAAATTTCACACATACAAATATATTTGCTAATGCAAGATCTGTTGTGAAGATGATATATATCTGCCTACTTCACCCACAAAGGGTCACAATTTCCAATACTTATATCTGTCATAATTTGCGAAACAAGTCGGCGATTCTTTACAACTTGTTGTAACTAAATATCCTCTTAACCAGAAATCTGATATAAATATGTAATTTATCGGAATTTATGATTTCGCATAAAATTGGATATAAAAGTTCGATATCCTTCAAATTTTGCAGATACCAATATTTTTATCTGTATTAGATAAAAGTCTGAAAATGGAATTCTTCGTCCGCTGTATCTGGCACTTCACACATATATCACCGGAATTTTTTCAAATTTGGCATTTGAAGTTCGTAACGGATACTAGAGCCTACGACAGAAAATTGTCTGTGCAGGTCCACGTCTTCATATAGCCCTCATATAACGGTACCTCCCGATATTAGGTACATTTATGATTTTAGCGGCATTATTCAGCGGAATTGTTTCGAATTTAGTATTCGAAGTTCGCAATGGGTACTACAGCCTATGACAGAAAATTGTCTTTGCAGGTCCACGCCTTCGTATAGCCCCCATATAAAAATACCTCCCGATATTCGGTATTTTAATGATTTTAGCGACATTATAAACAGAATTTTTTTCAAGTTTGTAATGGCTTTTGACAAAAGTGGCCTATGCAGGTCTATGTCCTCGTATAAACCCTAATATAATGGCTACATTCGGTATTTTTAAAATTCTAACAGAATTTTTAGCGGATTTTATTTGTTTTATTTTTATTTATATATTTTTTTTTTTTTAAATTGCCAAATTCATTCCAAATGGTGGAGGGAATTCAAAGTTCGACCCGGCCGAACTTACAGCTTTTTTACTTGTTTTTACATATTAAATATCAAATGTTTCTTAAAATATCAAATATATAACTACTGGCTCTTTAGCCGGAAAATATGGGTAGACATTGGAGCCACAGTCACACAGTTGCTTACAAACAGATAAGGAACAATTCTAATCGATTTTCGAATAGCTTTCCACAAATAATCAAAATTTCTCTTTATATTGTCTTGTAGACAAAGAGATTGTGGTAGGTTTCTTTATGTTTATCAAACAGATTCCAACAAATTCATGAGATCGTCGTCCATTGCAAACTTATCTGCCAATCAAATTGATATTTTTTTCCTCAACACTCCGGAAAATGCCAATCGCGAAGATGTTTTCTTTTTTTGTGTGATTTATTATCAGTGAAACGTAAAACAAGTCAATCACCATTTGACACCATTAAAGTGAATTATTTGCGATCCACCAGAAGCGGCAGCAGCAGCTGCAGCTGTAATGACCGGCAGTTTGTCTTTAGATTTCTATGCATGTGCAGTGCCAGTGCGGTAAAATCGAGAGTGACAATTTTGCATATAAAAAACGAATAAGCTATGGAATACTAAAAACAAAAGGAGTGCAATAAGAAAAGAAAAAAAAAAACAACAAAATAAAATTTTGAAGAAAATATTTTTTAAGAAAAATTCAAAAATAAGTGAAAGAGAAAGCTATAATGATTTGGAAATATGCGGTGGTATCATTGATATTCGCTCAATATTTGTTGACGGTATCGGCATTTGGTAGTCCAGCCATAGAGCCGGATACAAGGTAAAGCTTTATTTCGTAACTGACAAAAATATCTTAATTTTTTTTAGTACAAACTCTCGGATTTTTTTTTTCTTGGGCATGGATCCGGATACCCGTATATTTTACTTGAAATCCTGGTCAAAGACCCGGATTAGATCCGGATTTACGAAACCAATATTGACAATATGAGTAAAATTTTAAAGTTAATGAAAATACTTACCTTTTTTACCTACAATGGACCCGGATACCCGGATATTTTACTCGAAATCCGGGTCCAAGACCCGGGTTTGATTCGGATTTACAAAACCTATGGAAAATAGGTATCATTTGAAAGCTAATGATAATACCTCTGTTTTTTACCTATAATTTTTTTCTTGGGGAATGACCCGGATACCGGGATATTTTACTCGAAAAATAGATTAGATCCGGATTTACTAAACCAATATTGACAATATAGGTATCATTTGAAAGCTAATGAAAATACCTTTATTTTTTACCTATAATTTTTTTCTTGGAGAATGGCCCGGATGCCCGGAATCCGGGTCCAAGACCCGGGTTATATCCGGTTCAAATAAACCGATATTGGCAATATAGGTATAATTTAAAAGCTAATGAAAATAACTACCTTTTTATCTATATATTTTTCTTGGGGATGGACCCGGACAATCGGATATTTTACTCGAGACCCGGGTTAGATCCGAATTTACTAAACCAATATTGACAATAAAGGTATCATTTGAAAGCTAATGAATATACCTAACCAAACGATTCGGAAATCATATCTAAATTGTCACGTCCGGATCCAAGGAAAATAATTAATTGTAGTTTATTGGAAGGGTCTATATTGTGTAGAACCAAAAAAAGAGCCTTTTTGACTTTTGGGGGTATTAAAAAAAATTCCGGGTCCAAAAAATCAAATCACACAACTACTGAACAGCCTTAAATAAACATGACGGGTTATTTATAACGGTTCTGGAGTTGCATCATTTGATTTGATTTTTGGACCCGCTTAAGTTAGGTATTTCCATGGTTAGTATTTTCATTGTTCGTATTTTGGTTAGGTATTTTCATAAGCTAACTTTATTTTTCATTATACCTATATTGGGGTCTTAGATTCGGATTTTCGGCTTCGGGAGTTGTATCATTTGTTTTTATTTTTTGGACCCGGTAAGGTTAGGTACTTTCATTCTTGGTATTTTGATTAGCTACCTTTATTTTTCACTACGATACCTATATTGGGGTCTTAGATTCAGACTTTCGTCTCAAATATCCGGGTATTTTCCCAGAATCAAGGAATCCGAGAATTTTTACTACACTTTTTCAGTTATTGTTCGAATAATTTTTTATTTAATTCGAGAATTTCATTTGTAGTTCGAATTATGCCAATGCACACTAGTTCAAATGACCACTTTTTCTGTGCGAAAGTCGAATTTCGTAAGGGCGATTTTATACTGATCATTGTTGCCACCATGTAGGGAATAGTCCAAAATAACGTAAACTTCACTTTGTTTTTGTAAAATGTCAAACACCGTTTGACTGCAATCAATCAAAGTTACACGTGTAACACGTTATTAAAAGACTGTTTGCGCAGCCTATTATTTTCTTAAGGTTCAAGTGCTCGTTTTTTTAGCCAGTGGAAATAAATGACGGAAATTTTGAAGTGGAATACAAAATTATAAGTGAGTACTTATGTCACAGTTAATTAAAAGTGTAGATATCGTTTATTTACAAAAATAAATGCTGACTTATTTACATAACCTCAAATTTGTTTAAGTGATTTTTGATTACGAGTTCATGTAAGCTTAACAAATTTCGGCGAATGTCGGCAGACAAAAAGTAAAAAGAAATGATTCAATTAAGATGTAGTTAATTGATTCTACTTTACTATAAACCGCACCTTTTAGCGCTATTCAGGAAAAATCGTTTTTCTAGGTTACCATGCTATAATAAGAGGCGAGATGTTTAAAGTTTGGCTGCATAAATGTTCGCAAAAGAAAAAGCTTGCTAAGGTTGTCAACTATGTCGTGAACAAAATTGGTGCTGACGATATTTTTCGAAGATTCAATGAAAATCTTGAAAGAAAAAACGCGTTTATTCTGCAAATCTTTAACATCAAAATACGAAAAACTTGGAAAGAATGCTGACAAATTTAGATTGGAAAACTGCGCTTGGCTTACGGATAAAATTATTTTCGAAATTAAAAAGCAAACTGCAAAAGTCAATAATGTTGGTCGCCCAAAAGCTATTCGGCTGTTTGTCGCCCAAAAGCTCAATTTTGCAACAAATTTCAAACTTTTTGCTTTGCTACAGCTGAATTTATTCAAAATTGTGTCCTTGGTTTGCCGATGACGCCCACTTTATTTAAGGTTCTTAAACACTCAAAGGAGATACTTAATAGTTCTATTTTGGCGTTGGGTTTCTGCTGAATCGCGACATAAAATGTATAAATCAGACAGATTACATCATGCACGTACGAATAAACACATTAATAATTTTCGAGATAGTTTTAACAGAGCTGCTGATACATCAGATCCACTGATTTCTACAAAATATTTAAACAGACGTATTCAACATCAAAAGTCTTTGCAACTACAGTATTTTTTGCTTACCTGCACAATCAAAAATTGCACGACATCTTGTGCAGCAATGCCCAAAATGCAGGTAGCTTCATTGTATTTGTCTGCACAATGAAGCAGGTATCTTTAATTTTACTTACGTGCACAAAAAGTGCAGTTATCTTTAATTTTCTATTCGTGCACAACAAAGCAGCAGCAGCATAACCATCTTTTAGTGTGGGAGAGGAAGCGAGAATATGTTTTTAATGCATGCTCTTTTCTTGTGTTGTTATTGTTTTTGCGAATACAAAAACGAAGTGGTAGTTTTTAGTGTCTTTTTTGAGTTTGCTAAAAATTTTCTTGTGCAGATAAATACAACTTTTGTAACCAAATTAAAAAAAAAAATTACCAAATTTTCGAGGCAGGAATGTCCAATGTGCAGCTATCGATTGGGCACTTAAATACAATTCAAATAAAGGGATTCAGAAAAAAATGGCATAAAAAAGTTTTTTTGGTCTGAAAAGGCCAATGTGCAGCTAATGTTGATGCAGGTAAATAGAAACCACTGTACTATGAAGTTGTTGAAATGATAAGTTCGTTTTATCCAACCCAAGAAGTTAATGAAGATGAGACAGGCGACGAAATCAATGAAAATGATACAATGTCAAATTTTCACTTTCTCCCTTGATGCCTCAAATAGCTTATGTTTAGAAAATGAATTACATATATATGGTGATTTAGAAGAAGAATAAACAAATATTTCAAACAAAATATACATACATAACCCAAACATTTTTTTCGTTTTTGAAAAATTATAGTACTTTTCGCATTACTTATTCAAGATGGTGATTATGTGACTAATTCTAAGGGGGAGGGGGAGATGACTGCTGGTATTTTAAAATGTAGTTGTGGTAGAAAAAATCGGTTAATAACTTGTGTCAAAAATCAAACTGATTGCAAAATGTCTTCTAACACCACACGAGCACCTACATTTATCACTATGACTATTTAAAAAGTTTGTGAATGTTAAGTCATGTATTTTTTGTTTAATTTACTGATATTACACTTTCTTTAACGCTTGCCTTCATTTTAGTTTGAAATAGTACAATATTTTAGTTGCAATTAATTTCGCACAGAAAAAGTGGTCATTTGACCTAGTGTGCAATGGTAATTGGAATTATACCAATTTTAATTCGAATTGTTTCATTTTTAATTAAAATTGTTTCAATTTTTTCATCGATTTTTAAATAGAACCGATCGAATTACAATTGAAATAATTCAAATTACAAATGGAATAATACGAATTACAACTTGTTTTATGGAAATAATTAAATTTATATATGGAGTAATTCGAATTACAAATAGAATTCTCCAATTACAATTAAATGTTTCGAATTACATCTGAAAAATCTGTAAACTAGACTCTATACTAATTTTTTATTATTCAATCTTGAATCCTTACAGTGACCAATGGATCTGTACGTCTACGGAACTCTGCCAGCTAGATGATGCCGCAAATATTGGCGATGCCAAGCGCTATGAGAGTCAACATGATTGTCGTATGTCATGCGGTAAATATGGTGCCATATGGCCGATGCCAACGGGAAGTTGTTCTCTCGCACAGGAGCGCATACATTTCGATCCGTGGAAAGTGCGATTTAATGTCGTCGCTCCCAGTCCAGCCTCAACACAATTTATACGTGAAACCAATCGTATCTTTGTCAGCAATATTATCAAGGAATGCTTACGAAATTGCACCCTGGAGCAGAGTAAAGAGGTGTTGGTGAAGGCAACAGTAAATTCATCGGATTTAACGTTAGATTGGTCAACAGATGAATCGTATCAGTTGGTGATAAGAACAACAGGTGGGGCACAACAAAATATTGAATAAATATTTTTTATTAAGAGTAGGGATTAAAATATGAAATTAGCACCGAACGTCAAAATGTCAAATCTCCACCCAAAATTGAAAAAAAATCCAATAGTTGAATTAAAAGAATCGAAAGTGGAATTAAAATTCTGAAATTTAAAAAAAATGGAATTTTTTTGTAAGTTTCCAATGGGGATTTTTTATATATTTGCCTAATTATCTAATCGCAATTTTTTAAAATAGTTTTTCAAGGCTCTAACCGTGAATTTTTAAAATATATTTTTAAGGCACTAATCGCGGATTTTTTAAATATTTTTTCAAGGCACTAATCGTGGATTTTTTAAATATTTTTTCAAGGCACTAATCGGGGATTTTTTAAATATTTTTTCAATGCACTAATCGTGGATTTTTAAAATATTTTTTTTCGAGGCAATAATCGTAGATTTTTAAAATATTTTTTAAGTTACTAATCAAGGATTTTTAAAATATTTTTTTCGAGGCAATAATCGTAGATTTTTAAAATATTTTTTAAGTTTCTAATCACGGATTTTTAAAATATTTTTGTCAAGGCACTAATTGTTGATTTTTAAAATATTTCTTAAGTTACTAATCAAGGATTTTTAAAATATTTTTTTCGAGGCAATAATCGTAGATTTTTAAAATATTTTTTAAGTTTCTAATCACGGATTTTTAAAATATTTTTGTCAAGGCACTAATTGTTGATTTTTAAAATATTTTTTTAAGGCACTTATAGTGGATTTATGAAAACTTTTTTCAATGCAATTATCGTGAATATTTAAAATATTTTTGTCAAGGCACTAATCTTGAATTTTTAAGATATATTTTCACTAATCGTGGATTTTAAAGATATTTTTTCCAAGGCAAAAATCGTGGATTTTTAAAATATATTTTCAAGGCACTAATCGAGGATTTTTAAAATATTTTTTCAAGGCACAAATCGTGGATTTTTTAAAATATTTTTTCAGGGTACTTATAGTGGATTTATGAAATTTTTTTCAATGCACTTATCGAGAATTTTTAAAATATTTTTTCAAGGCACTAATCGTGGATTTTTAAAATATATTTTCAAGGCACTAATCGAGGATTTTTAAAATATATTTTCATGGCACTAATCGTGGATTTTTAAGATATTTTTTCTAAGGCACTAATCGTAGATTTTTAAATATATTTTCACGGCACAAATCATGTATTTTTAAGATATTTCTTCTAAGGCACTAATCGTGGATTTTTAAAATATTTTTTCAAGGCACTTATAGTGGATTTTTAAAATATTTTTTCAAGGCACTTATAGTGGATTTTTAAGATATTTTTTCTATGGCACTAATCGTTGATTTTTAAAATATTTTTTTAAGGCACTTATAGTGGATTTTTAAAATATTTTTTCAAGGCACTTATAGTGGATTTTTAAGATATTTTCTAACGCACTAATCGTGGATTTTTAAAATATTTTTTAAGGCACTTATAGTGTATTTTTTAAACATTATTTTAAGGCATTTTTAAAATATTTTTCAAGGCACTAATCGTGGATTTTTAAAATATTTTTTTAAGGCACTTGTAGTGGATTTTTTAAATATTATTTTAAGGCATTTTTAAAATATTTTTCAAGGCACAAATCGTGGATTTTTTAAATATTTTTGTTGAGGCGCTAATTGTGCATTTTTAAAATATTTTTTCAAATCACTTATCGTGAATTTTTAAATATTTTTTCTAAGACACTAATCGTGGATTTTTAATTTTTTTCAAGGCACTTATAGTGGATTTTTAAAATATTTTTTCAAGGCATTTATAGCGGATTTATGAATTTGTTTTTTTTTTTTCAATGCATTTATCGTGAATATTTGAAATATTTTTCAAGGCACTAATTGTGGATATTTTTAAATATTTTTTCAAGGCACTATTCCTGGATTTTCTTTAATATTTTTCAAGGCACTATTCATGGATTTTTTTAAATATTTTTTCAAGACACTATTCGTGGATTTTTTTAAATATTTTTTTCAAGGCACTATTCGTGGATTTTTTTAAATATTTTTTAAAGGCACTTATCGTGAGTTTTTAAATATTTTCCAATCGAGGATTTTTATAAATATTTTATTAAAATATATCAGGACTAAAGTAATTGATTGACTTACTGACTTAAGGAACGCCAGGACCAAAGCAAGAATTTTGAAATTTTGGGTGAGGGTCACTCTTGGAATGAGGTTTACCGATGGAGTGTATGATGCATGTTTTGGGGGACATTCGCTTTATAAGTGTATAAAAAGTACTCAAATGTACTTCATTTGGTACCACTTAGTATCATGTGAACGGTTGGAGCCGGAATCGAGATTTTTTTTTTGTAAATATTTTATTCAATTTTGTTTTTTTGTAAGAGGCTCACAGAACTTTATTTAAAATCATGGATTTTTCAAAAAAAAAATTTTATATCCAGTTTTTTTGTTAAAAAATAGTTTTAAAATATCTGTATTTTTCTGTGACGTTTTCAAAGCTTATATTTTTGAAAATATTTTTTGCCATGGACATTTATCGTACATTCTTAGACACACTTATTTTTTTATATTTTGACTTTTTAAAAATGCTCTCCGGAAAGACTCGTTGTTTTTTTAATTTGATTTTTTTTTTAATATTTAAGCATTGTCACAACATGGATTGGAAAATTTTTTGGATTTGGATTTTAAAATTTATGAGCCCCCAAAAATTTATTTTTTAGTTTCAATTACTTATTTTATTAATTTGAAAAAATAAAAATTATTTTTTTATTATGTTTTCCAGGCACTGCCACTTTTGTGGATATCAAAGCCCCAACTGTATATGGCGCCCGACATGCCTTCGAAACGTTGAGCAACCTCATAACTGGTTGCAAAGAGTAAGGCAATTATTCACTTCATTTAGCATTTAAAATTAATTCAAACTTCCTTCTTTTCATAGTAATGGCCTTCTTATGGTAAGCTCCGCTAGAGTCACCGATCGTCCCATATATCCCCATAGAGGTGTGCTCTTGGATACGGCAAGAAACTTTATGCCATTGAAACAGATACGCAATACTATCGATGCCATGGCTGCATCGAAGATGAATGTTTTCCATTGGCATGTGGTAGATACGCATAGTTTCCCCTTGGAAATTACAAGGGTGCCGGAAATGCAAAGGTAAGAGGATTCATAAATCCTTGGGATTTTAGAGAAGCTAAATGTGTTCTCATTTATAGATTTGGAGCCTATGGAGCTGGTAATACTTATTCCCGTATCGAAACCTCAAACATGATAAAATATGCCCGCCTGCGTGGCATACGTGTCCTCATCGAAATCGATGGTCCCTCACATGCTGGCAACGGTTGGCAATGGGGTCCCATGGCCGGCATGGGCAATATGGCGGTTTGCATCAATCAAAAACCCTGGAGAAATTATTGTATTCAACCCCCCTGTGGCCAATTGAATCCGCTCAACTCCAATATGTATTCGATAATGAAGGAAATCTATGAAGACCTAGCTGAGGTCGGACCCCCCGAAGAAACCATACACATGGGTGGTGATGAGGTTTACATATCCTGTTGGAACAATACCCAAGAGATAACAAAGAAAATGCGTGAAATGGGTTATGATTTGTCGCTGGATAGTTTCTACAAATTATGGTCACAATTCCATGAGAAAAATCTCGAATCCTGGGATGAGGTTAATCAACGTCAATATCCACATTTAAAGGTACCCAAATCGACAATTGTGTGGTCAAGCCATTTGACAGATCCTGAACATATTGAAAAATATTTACCCAAAGAAAGATTTATAATTCAGACATGGGTATCGGCTGATGATCCATTGAACCCGGTATTGTTGCGTAAAGGTTATAGGGTGATTGTATCGACCAAGGATGCCTGGTATTTGGATCACGGCTTCTGGGGCAGAACGCAATACTACAACTGGGCCAAGGTCTATAATAATAAAATGGAAAATAATTCGAATATTTTGGGTGGTGAGGTGTGCATTTGGAGCGAATATGTTGATCAAAATTCTGTGGGTGAGTATTTTGGTTTAAACTTTTTTGTGAGGACATCCTAGAGGAGTTCTGGAGATACGTTATAGAAAGGACATCTAGAGTTGTTTTGTGGATAGAAGATATTTTTATACCCTCCATTATATTATGAAGGGTATATTAGCTTTTTTAATCCGTTTGTAACTTCTCGAAGTATTTTATACTTCTCAAGTATAGAATTATAGATCCCTATGGCTGAGTAGAAGTGTTTTTTTATCGCAGCTGATCTTTTTGTTTATTTGCTGTTTACTTGCCTTAACTACGTATATATAAACAAACGTTGGATACTATATAGCTGAAACATAATTGCATTTAGCGGATATCTCGTATTGAATTGTAAAATTTTTGGAAAATTTGCAATTTTTGTGTGTTGCATAATCCTGCTGTGTTGCTGTTGTTGCTTTGTTGCTGCCATTTGTGGTTTCTTCTGGACATTTTGTTTTTTTGTTGCTGTTTGCTAATAACCTCAGTTATGCCTGCCGCCAAATGTAAAATTTGTAACTATAATGTTACGAAGACACAGCCTAGTGTTCTTTGTAAAGCTTGCAACTGCTGGGTTCATACTCATTGTGCAAACATTGATGACAAAAACTTAAATGTATTGAAGTCGGTAAAATCGTTTGCTTACATTTGCCCTTCATGTGAGCCGAATTTATGCAGCAGCTCTACCAGTGATGGTGTCGTTGACAAAATTAATAGTCTGACTGCTAAATTAGATAACTTTATTGCTAGTTACCAGTCGCAGCAAAATAGTCTAAAAGTTGTTTTGGATGACATAAAGAAGGAAGTGAGTTCATGTATTGCTGAAATGAGGACTGACATCAGGCAATGTAACGACAATGTGCAGCGGACGAAGTTTGTTGCGCTTGAGAGGGAAGACAACGTTATGCATAAACGGATGAATCGGCCTGACATCCTCATAGGAGGGTTGCCTGAAGGTTTGGATGATTTGGAGTTGCCTGTTATTGCATTGGGATCATTCTATAACATACCTATAACCAGCCAGGACATCAATCATGTATGTTATATTAATCGTAGGAAACAGATTCTTGTTAAATTTAACAAAGTTGCGTTGCGTGATAGTTTGATGAGGGAATATTTTAAAACTCGTAATCTTCGAATCTGCGATCTACTGGGCGCCCAAGGTGTTGCTTTAAATAACAGGGTGTACCTTAATGATCATTTTTCGCCTGCTGCATCACATTTAAACTTTGTCTGCAAGAAACTGTGTCGCCTTAAAGTAGTCAAAAAATTTAAGATTTTGAATTCTGATCTCGTAAAGGCATGGCTGGTTTTTCCTGATGGTAGAGAGGATACTTACAACGTTAGTCAATGTGAGTCATTGCTTGCGGATTCGGAAGGCAATGGGAATTGAATTTATATATGAATATAATTTTTTCTAATTAAAATTTCTATTGATTTTTTTTCTTAATTATTTTAATTTTCCATTAATTTAATTGTTTTCAATTTCTTATCCTGTTTGTGTGTTTGATCATTTTATTCTTTTATACATTTTGTAGTATTCAGCTGCGTTAAATTGTATTTATTTTTCTTAATGAATTTTTTGAAATTAAATTTTATTAGTGTAATTCTGTTGAATTCTTATAATTGGTTCCCCGCCACAACTACGTCTTATGTATTTGATGTCTTTTAGTACTAATTTGGGGCCGGTGATCAGCAACAATGATTATATTAAATCCGTTTTAATTTCATGTAGTAATAAGTTCAATATGGCTCATATAAACTCACGCAGTATTAGGCCATCTATGAATTCAACGAAGTTTTGTGAGCTCAAAACTATTTTATCGGGATCAGGCTTGCATTTTCTTGGTGTATCCGAAACTTGGCTAAAATCTGATATTCCAACTAGTGCAATAAATGTACCTGGGTATAAATTTGTGAGGAATGACCGTCGATACTCTAGAGGTGGTGGTGTTGGTATATATATTTCTAGTGATATTTCTCATAAAGTCGTTTTCAGATCTTCTGTGATAGGTAAATGCGAATCGCTTTTTATTGAGGTTATGTCCGGCGATGAAAAGGTTCTGTGTGGTGTTGTGTATCTTCCTCCTCCAGGTGATATTAATGTTTTTGAAGATATTCACAGCGATTTATTCTTGGAGTATTCAAAAATTGTTATAGTGGGTGATTTTAATGCTAATATGTTTGATCCGCATAAATCTACGTCTGTCCGTTCAGTCTGCTTCCGGTTAAACTTGTCAGTTTTCCATAATTCCAAACCTACTCACTATGATGTTACACATCGTGCGTCTTCGCTGCTTGATTTTATGCTGGTAAATGATTGTGCTATGGTACATCTGTCTGATCAGGCAATATGTCCATCGATATCTGACCATTCACTCATTTTTGCATCGTTAAATATAGGTGTTAATACTTTTTGCGATTTTGTTGAGTATCGAGATTACTCTTGTATTGACTGGCCGGGTTTTTTTTCTCATCTATCAGCCTTTAATATTGATATTCTGAATGTTGTGGATGTTGACGCTAAATGTTCTCAAATATCAAATCTTTTTTTGGGGTTGTTTGATTTTGTTCCTTTGGTACGTAGAAAAATGCGATCTGAAGATAATTGGATTAGTTCAAATCATATTACACTTGCCCGATCACTTCGCGATTTGGCTTTTAAGGCTTACGTTGATAATAAAAGCAATGATAATTGGAAAATTTTTTGTCGTTATCGTAATAGAGCGAAGTTAGTTATTCGTCGTGAGCGTAGAAAGTATTACTCTAAGAAATTTAATACGTTGGGTTCAACTGCTATGTGGCGTTTTTTTAGGGCTTCGGGTTGTATTGGTGGTGATGATGTGTTTCTTGACATTGATGTTGATGATCTAAACTATTTTTTTCAACATAGGAACTCACATATGCCTAATATTGATTTGCAATTTTCGAACGCACGCAGTGATGGATTTTCTTTTAGTTGTGTTCGTATGGAAGAAATTATTGTTGCACTTAGCAGAATAAAGTCTAAATCTGTCGGAGTTGATGGAATACCTGTGGATTTCTTAAAACTAATTTTTCCTTATGTGTGTGATATTGTTTTGGATTTGGTTAATTCTGTCTTGATGTCGTCTGTGTTTCCTTGTTTGTGGAAGCAAGCCCGTGTCGTTCCAATTCCGAAGGGGAATGTTGTTCATAGCCCTGATGATCTCAGGCCTATTTCAGTTCTCCCTGTGATGGCTAAGGTGTGTGAGCATGTTATGAAGGACCAAATACTTGCTCATGTTGCAAGCAAGATATATAATGGTCAATTTGCATTCCGTAGGAATCATAATACCACCAGTTTGCTTCTGTACTTAACTGACTTAGTGAGATATAACTCGAATCTTAAAAAAGATACTGTAGTTGTTTCGTTGGATCTAACAAGGGCATTTGATTCTCTTTCTCATCAAATATTACTCTGGAAACTGATGTATGAGTTCGATTTTTCTGAGACAGCTTGTAACCTTATTCTATCATATTTGTCCGGTAGATCCCAATTCGTTTACTACAATGATAGATCTTCAAGTGTGTCACTGCTTTCGTGCGGTGTTCCGCAGGGCTCTGTATTAGGCCCTTTGTTTTTCATTTTATATGTCAATAGCCTTTCTGAGTGTTGTTATGGTGAGAATTGCACTCCTCTCTTATATGCGGATGATGTGTTTCTCGTTTTTACTAATTCTTATATTAACCCTATTGCTTTTGAAAGCGAAATTAATAATTGTCTTGTTCATATTGGACAGTGGTGTTTTGAAAATTCTCTGGTTTTGAATCCGTCAAAGACAAAGGCTCTCAAGTTTGGCAGTCATGCATATAATCTCAATATTGCTCTCGATGGTAATCTCATTAGTTTTGTAAGCTGTCATAGAATGTTGGGTATTTTGGTAGATGAGAAACTTTCTTTTGAGACTCATATCGGTTCCGTTCAGAGGAGAGTTTTTGCTATTATTCGCAGATTATATGGCACCAATTTATTTTTACCATTGTGGGTTAAAAAGAGGTTGGCGAATGCTCTTTTAATGCCTCATATTAATTATGGGCTTGAATTGGTATCTGGTACGATAAATAGTTTTTGTTTAAGAGTTAAGCGTATAGTTAATGCTATCGTGAGATTTGTGTATTGTTTGAAGAGACGTGATCACATCTCAAATTTTGTTATAGATTTCTTGGGAGTTTCTTTTGAACAATTTTTATCCGTTAAGTTATTGCATTATTTTTACAAAACAATCAGAGGTGGAGTTCCTAGGTTTCTGGCTAACATGTTCAGTTTTTCCAGGTCAACCAGGAGTACTCAGATATTAATACCCAGAATAAATAACTTAACATTTGAAAAGTCCTTTGTTGTACGTATTGCACGTTTGTGGAATTATCTACCTATTGAGCTTAGAATTTTTTCCCATTCTAATAATGCCTTTCGTTTAAAAGTTTTGAATCATGTCCTGTATCCTGGTATTCATCCCATTTAGTTTCGTTGTTTTGAGCTTTTATTATCTTCGTTTTACCCTTTTTTAATGGTTTAATTTTCTTTATAGTCAAATTTATGGTTACCTTCCTTAAAAAAAAAAAAAAAAAATAAAATTATTTGCTTGTTGTTGGTTATGATGCCCCTATTGATTCATTTTTTTACTTTTGATTTTCTTTCTGTAGTTTTGGCTGGGGAGCCTTTTATATCTTGATTTTAAATAATGTGATAGTTTTTTATAAGTTATTTTTATTTTTTCTACTTGGTATTGAGTACCTTATTAATACAATTAATTGGCCTTGGAGGCTTTAGTATTAAGTATGAATTAAATAAATAAATAAATAAATAAATAAATAAATACTTCTCAAAGTATATATATTATGGATCAGCCTAAAATTATATGACGATCTAGCGATGTCGTCTTTCTGTTAAACATCTCGCTATCTTTCGAACGAATTCAGATAGAAGGCTATTATTTACCGGAATCGTTTCAAATTTTGTATTAGAAGTTCTTAATGTGTACTACAACCTATGGCAAAAAATTTCGTATGCAGGTTAACGTTTTCGTATAGCCCCCATATATCGGTACCTCCCGATATTCCATATTTTGATGATTTCAGCAACAGTATTCACTGGAACTGTTTCAAATTTTGTATTTGAAGTTTGTAGTAGGTACCACAGCCCATGACAAAAAATTCCGTATGCTGATCCACGTCTTCGTATGGCCCCCCTATAACGGTACCTCCCGATATTCGGTATTTTGATGATTTCAGCAACATTATTCACCGGTATCGGGTACTACAACCTATGGCAAAATCTTTTGTATACAGTTCCACGTCTTCGTGTAGCCCCCATACAATGGTACCTCCCGATATTCGATCATGAATTTAGCCACATTATTCATCGGAATCTTTTAAAATTCCGTATTTAAAGTTCGTAATGGGTAGTAAAGACTATGACAAAAATTCGTATGGCCCCCATATAACGGTACCTCCCGATTTTCGGTATTTTCATAATTTTACCGACATTATTTACCAGAATAATTTCAAATTTCGTATTTGAAGTTTGTAATGGGTACTACAGCCTGTGACAAAATTTTTTGTACGCAAGTCCACGTCTTCGTATAGCCCCCATATAACAGTACCTTCCGATATTCGATATTTTCATGAATTATTTAAAGTTTCGTATTTGAAGATCGTAATGGGTGCTACAGCCTATGAGTATAGCCCCCATATATCGAAATTGTTTTGACATTTTTCAAGTTCCTTCCAAATGATGGAGGAAATTAAAAGTTCGGCTCTATTATTTCTACACAAAGAAGATTACAGGTACAAGGTCTTATATTTAGAAAATCTATAGAAATCTATAGACCCTAGAAGATATTCTAGAAATAATCTTTGAAATATGGTACTGTAAAATACCCTCTTTTTTAGATAGAATAATTTGTGGAGATCTCCTTGAGAAGTTCTACCGACATTACACTTCCTGATGTTGTTCTAAATTCATTTAAATAATATCACCTAGAGGTCTTCTATACACCGTAGAAAGTATTCTGCAAATAACGTCTGAAATATTGAACTGGCAATCTATTTTAGAAAGCAAATTTCTAAAGAACTCCTTGAGGCCTTCTATCGACATTACACTTCCTTATGTTATTCCAAAAGTCTTCTACAGATATAACCTCTTTTGAAAATCTTTCAGATATTAAAAAAATAATCTTTTTGTCATATTTCATTTTTAAATGCTTTTTCCTCTTTCAGAGGCCCGTATTTGGCCACGAGCTGGAGCTGCGGCTGAACGTTTATGGTCCAATCCCAAAACAAATTCCCTACAGGCACAATATCGATTCTATCGCTACAGAGATCGCCTGATATCTCGAGGCATACGGCCCGATGCTGTTGTGCCCAAATGGTGTATACTCAATGAGGGCCATTGCTTTTAAAAACCACCGAGATAAGGTGTTTGGGTTTGTGCGTCCGGTTCATGGGGAGATGGATTTGTTTATAAATAATCTTAAGACTTGATCTTTAAAAGATCTATTTGACTTTAAGTGCCTTGTTTTTGAGAATAAGCCAAATATTTTACTATACTAATAATAAAAATAAAATTTTACTATATTTATTGCATTTGATAAAAATCCAAAGATTTGAATAAAATTTGTCCATTGAAAAATAAAATTATTTCTATAAATTCGAAATTATTTAAGATAACCCTGATCGATGGCATGTTTAAACATATCGGCAATACGCTGACGTTTATGTTGCTCCTGGAATGGCTTCAAGTTCCAGACATCTACCAACACCGAGTCAGCACTTATTTCATCTAAATCAGCAATTTCATCTTCTTCCAGCATAGACATGGGCAGTGATTCAATACCCATGCCACAACCAAAACGGGCGAATTCTTTCAATTCATCCAAAAGAGATTGCCATGAGAATACCAATTCTGGATTGGCTCCCAAATCTTTAATTAAATCACAAGCACTTTCATGATAGGCCTTGAGCAGGCTTTCGTAGTGGGCTTCACGTAATTCATGGCTGGTGCAGGAATAAATAAAGAATGAAATGTCCACAGCCAAAGAGGCACAGCGGGCCAGTTGGAAATCAATTATTTTAATGGCTTCTGGTTTGCCATCCTGGCTATAGCGGGTTAGGAAATTTGGTGTCCAACAATCGCCATGGCCAAAAACAGTTAGTTTTGCTAAAACAAAAATACATTATTACATTATTTTCTAAATTCCATCTTTTTTTCACTACTCACATTTAGATGACACCAAATTAATTTGATCATCATACACCTGTTCGGCCTGCAAATAGTTGTTGGCAACTGTCTCATATTTACTCTCAGGATATGATTTGCTCACGGCGTCTTTGGCCACCTCACAGGCCAATTTCATGAAATCCAAATACCATTTACGATTTGAATCGGCATAATAGGTTTCTTCCAAACATTTACCCGTCTCTTCGAAGAGTTCCGGTTCCAAAGAATTCAATGCCAACGAAATACCATGGAATCTACCCAATGTACGCATTGTTAGCATACATTCTTCTAGAGTAATATAGCCTTGGCGATCAGGTGAACCATAACCCAAAAAGCTAACATCTTCCAATGCTATAAAATCATTTTCGCCATCACAATACGATGCATAACATTTGGGATATTCGGTAAACGGATTTTTGGGATTGCGACGCTTCTGGAATTCTTCCAAGGCGGGTACAACTTTCAGATAGAAATTGATTTCGTTACGAAAGAAATCGGCCGAACGAAATACTTTGCGACGTGCCAAATTATCGGGCATTCCCTTGCAAATTAGATTGACTTCAATATTGGAGCTGAAAGAGAAGTAAAGAGAAAGGAAAGATGAGTAAAAATTTTATGGAAAATTAAAAATGTGTTTTTGAACATTTAGAGACACGTCTTATTTCAAAGGAAGGGGACTGCAATAAAGGAAAAAATGTTCGATTTGATATATCTTAGATTCCTGAGTACGACAATATAATTTGCTTTCTTGGGGAAGCCCGTAATCCCAGAGTGATGGTATTCCGTCATTGTTTGGCTTATTTCCCATGTTTGCAAGACCAACCAAAGCAATGGTTATCTACGAAAAGTCTTCTACATCAGGCGGGAAGTTAAAATTGTAACCCTTGGACAGACTTTAATACCGGCTACCCGATTGAATCTCCTCTTAACAAGTTAAATAGTATCAGACGGTTTTGCCAAAAGATTTATACCCACAGCCTTCAGCTATGATTATTCTATCTGTTGACCCTTTATGTGCGACCCTTGACGCTTTTCCGAAGCAGTTAGCCGATATTGTCCAATTCGTATTTGACCTAAGAAATGGACCGATCTCTACCATCTTTATAACAGATCTTGTCTTGATAGAAATATTGAGATGTGTGAAGTTTGAAAATAATCGGACGATTATTTCGCATTTTTATGGCTTTTTGTAATTAAAAATTTGAACCCTCTGTGGAGGAGGTACTGGAAGCAGTACATCTTCACAGCAGATCTTGTGTTAGTAGAAATAATGGGATGTGTGAAATATGAAGAGAACCGGATACAAATTTCAGATTTTATTTATTCAAAATGTTGACCCTTTTTGGGGGAGGTATTAGAAGGTCTCTTCCATCTCAACAGCAGACTTTGTGTTGATGGAAATATTGAGATGTACCAAGTCTGAATGGAATCGGATGTTAATTTCGTGTCTTGTGAGCTTTATGAATATTCAAAATTTCGACCATTTGTGGTGGAGGTACCAGAAGGATTGGACCGATACATTTTATCTTCATTGCAGATCTTGAGTTAATAACCAATATTGTGATATGTGTAATTTGAAGACAATCGGACACTTATATCAAATTTTACAAAATTATTCAAAATTTTGACCCTTTGTGAGGGAGGTACTTCAAGAAGTGGACCGATGTTGTTCATTTTCTCAACTGACCTACCAAAACTGGAGCAAAATTTTGTCTGTGCAGTAACATAGTTTTTGAAAATTTCAAACTTTTGTGGGGTATGTACCAAAATGAGCGGACCGATTTTGTCCATCTCCGAACTTGATCTAAGTTTGATAACAATATTACGATGTAGTTTCGACTAAATCGGATACTTCCTTCCAAAGACATAATCTCCTGAACAGAGTGTGGTACACTACACCACCACCACAAATATATCGTTTACTAAGGATGCAAGGGGTACCCTGTTATTTTCTTTCTTTTTTTTGTGATTTTAGAACTTATAACCGAAAGTGTCCAGTTTTAGCTTAAGCTGGAAATACATAAAGCGCATATTTGGCTGGCTTCTTCGGAAATGAACAAAGGAGCCTAGGGCCAAAATCGAACTTAGTCAACCTAAACCTCCTTTGCCAGCCGATGACTTAAGCCATCCAAATATGCTCTTTATGTATTTCCAGCCTCCACCTCCATTGTTTGGTAGTTTCAGCATGTTGCTATATTTTCTTACTAAGTTAATGAATTCCAGATTATTTTTCTGCTTTTTTTCAATATGAACAATTGAAATCCAAAATTCTTAAAAAAAATAAAGAATTTATATTCATTTTTTTAACTTTTTCCCCATTTAATATTGTTTATTAAACTCACCCATTATCTTCATTAACACCATAGACGCACAAACGAAAGACGCGACTTAAATATGAATCGCCTTTTTTGAAACCTTTTCCGAATTTATGTGAGGTGTATTTTGTGCCTCCAGCCTTTTTGATGATATCCTCCAATACAGCTTCGGTGAATTTGGCGGAAATATCCGATAAGCTCATGTTGGCAACTATGAGAAGAAAACAACAATAAAAAGTAACTATTATATTGAATGTTATAATTTATAAGGGGCAAAAACACTATAAATTCAAAATGTTTATCAAGCTTATCTCAAGTATTCTTTTTCTCAACAATTATTGTTTAATTTCAAATTGTAGGCGCAATTTTTTGACGACAATGATAAGCAAAACTAACAGACATGATTTTTGAACTCTCTTTTTTATCAAAAACAAACACAAGAGAAATCACAGGTGGTCAGTTTCTCTTTTAAAGTAATGCAATGCAAAAACTCTATGCAAATAACAGAAACATTTCAGTGAAGTTAACATTGTCAACATTAAATTTGATTGTTCCTCTTTAATAACAGCCAAAAAGCCGGTTGATGATATCAAATAGAGGGTGTTCTGTTATTAAACACGCAGTTAATAAACCATAATAATTCTTTATTCAACAATACTTTGATATCCGCTAAATTGGTATACATAATTTTTTGCAACTGGCGCAAACAATTTATATTTTTTTTTTTTGTAAAATTTCATGATTTTATAAATTTGTGAACTGAAAACTTTTGTTTAATAACACAGAACTGTATAGCACAAATATTTTTATATGTTTTTTAACTCACTTTGATTTTATTTTGTTACCGAAAAAATACGATAAATTAAGGTACAGGAGTAATACTCAACGTTCCGACAGTTAATGAGGAAATAGTTAATTTAGTGTACACATCAGCATCAACTATCCACTTACATTTATTTGGTTTATTTAGTTGACACAGTTGATATTGCTCGTACGCGTAGCCGGCACATATGGCACTATTGTGAATTAATAGAATTTGATGTAGTTATTTATAAACGTATCGTAACTCAAATTAAAGGTATTTTTATACCCCCAGCCATATGGATAGAGAGAGTATATATCATTTGATATGGCCAAAACGTGCCTCATCGAAATAACGGTTTAGACCCTAAATTTATTTGGACCAAATCCGTTTTAGAACATTTGGAGTCGATCTAGTCATGTCCGTCCCTCTATCTGTCTGGCTGGTGTGCACGATAACTATCGAAGGGAGTATCCAATTTTGTCCAAACTTGGTACATCGTAATATTATTATCAAACTTAGATCGAGTTCGGGGAGGGGCAATATCGGTCCACTCCTTCTGCTCCATCCCCCACAAAAGGTCGAAATTTTCAAAAAAAATATGTTACTGTACAGAAAAGGAGAATGTAATCCGATTTTGCTCCAACTTTGCCAATCCCAATATTTGCATTACTACTAGGTTAGGTGCGAAAATGAACAATATCGATCCAACCATCAAGGACCTCCCCCCAAAGGGTCAAAGGGTCAACTCTTATAAAATGTGATGTGAGAGTCCGATTGTCTTCATATTACACGCATCACAATGCCTTTATTAACTCAAGGTCTGGTGTTAAGATGGAATATATGGGTCCTCTCCTTTTGGCTTATCCCCCACAAAGGGTCTGTATTTTGAATGTCCATGAAGTCCATAAAAATCGTATGTAATATTCGATTCTATTCAAACTTCCCACGTCTCAATATTTCTATCGGTTTACTCCCTCTGGTAGTTCCCCTACAAAGGGTCAGAATTTTAAATAACAAAAACGATAAAAAATCCGAAATTAACATCCGATTCCATTCAGACTTGGTAACCTAAATGTTTCTATAAACACAAGATATGTTATAAAGATCGGATCATTCCTTCTGGTACCTCTCTCACAAAGGGTCAACATTTTGAATAATTAAAACGATCATAAAATCCGAAATATGTTTTTGGTTATCTTCATATCTCAGAGATCCCAATATTTCTACTAAAACAAGATCTGCTGTGAAGATGGTATATATCGGTCCACTCCTTCTGGTACCTTCCCCATAACGGCTCAACATTTTGAATAACCATGAATCTCATAAAACGCGAAATTTACACCCGATTCCATTAAGACTTGGTACATCTCAATATTTCCATCAACACAAGATCTGTTTTGAAGTTGGTAGAGATCGCACCATTTCTTCTGGTACCTCTCCCACATAGGGTTCAAGATTTTGAAAAACAGAACGCACAAAGAAAGCAAAATAAGCACCCAACACTCTTCAAGTTTCAGAAATGCAAACATTTTTACTAACACAATGTCTGTTGTGACGATAATATATATCTGCGGATCACCCACAAAGTGTCACAATTTACAATTCTTTTATAAGTCGTAACTTGGGAAACAGGTCAGCGATTCTTTACAACTTGCTATATCTAAATACTTCTCTCAACCAGAAACCTGTGATGAATATGGAATTTATCGGAATTTATGATTTTGCATAAAATTGGATATAAATATTCGATTGCCTTCAAAATTTGCACATAACAATATTTTTATCCGTATTAGATAAAGTATGAAAATGGAATACCTTCGTCCCCTACATCCATTACTTCACGCATATTTCCACAGTTTCCAAAAATTGGCACATATCTCATATAAAGTATAGGAAGTAGTTGATATAGTCCGAATCTGGCACGTTGTTATATTTATATCTGTCTTTGGCCAAATACGAATTGGTCAATATTGGCCTACTGATTTGGAACAGAGCCAACAGTTTGAATAATCATAAATCAAGGCTGGGAGTATACATCTGTCGGCAAAACCGGCTGATACTTGTTTTTATATTGAGATTAGTGAAATATCGCGATTACACACACATTATCAGGGTAAACTCGGATTAATAATTGTATGTAAAGCCTCTTTAAGCCGTAATAATTTACCAATCGCAAAATAATATGGGAAAAATGCGTCAAACTTATTATGATTGTTATAAGGGTAAATCAATTTAAATTTTCTAACTCAATTTTCTTTTTATTCAACCGTATATATCCACCATCTAATAATCATTTACCCTGATATACCATGTTATTGTGAATTGTTACTTTGCATCAAAACAACTTGTTGACACCTGAGAACCGACGTTTTTTAATATTTTTCTCTCTTAATTCGTAAACTCGGTCATTTCATTTTCTGTTTATGTTCTATCAGGTTTTATGTTTTGTCTCATACTTCTTAATTCGTTTGGGACGTTTTTAGTTTTGGTGGTATACACTAGAGTTGAGCAATCGAGTTCACTTTGTGCACAAACAATTAGGTTGTTCATCTATTTCTTTTTGACTCATGCCTGTTATTACTATCGTTTGTTTACGTGAACAAAATTCTAATTCCTTTGAACTAGTTCGTTCCGGCACCACCCAACTCTGGTGGACAATTAGTTATAAACTTCGCGCTTTGGGAGGCAGATGAATGGATATTTTCTGCAAAACTTTCTATTTAAATCGTAAATTTTTTTAACTAGGATCTTAAAAATACATTTTTAAAACATTTCAAATATGCCTTTGGAACTCCGATAAATAAAGAAAAACCAAAAAGGAACTTCATTTCGTGTTGTCTATGCAGTGTCCTGTGAGAGGTAGAGTTTCATACGACTGATACTATTTATAGATCAAAAGGATACCTTAAAATTTCAACAGCATCCTTATTGAAGTAAGAAGATGCATCGTTACAAAGTCCATGCAATGGTGGGAGAGGGCTCCTTTGGCCATGTTTACAAAGCGCTGCGCAAGGACGACAATCAAATTGTGGCCATTAAGGTTATATCAAAGGTATGGTATAATAAAAATGTATATAAATATTTAGAAGGATTAACAATTTATGGCAACAAAATTTGAATTTTTGTAGAGAGGTCGCACCAGCCGTGATTTGAAAACCCTGAGACGTGAATGCGAAATCCAGGCCCATCTGAAACATCCCAATGTCATTGAGATGTTGGAATCGTTTGAAACCAAACATGATTTGATTGTGGTCACTGAATTTGCCACCATTGATTTACATCGTTATATGGAACGTAATGGTTATTTGCGTGAAGATAAAGGACAACGTTTAATCTGTGATTTGGTATCGGCCCTTTATTACCTGCATTCAAATCGTATACTGCATCGTGATTTGAAACCACAAAATGTTTTGCTTGATGAGGAACTGCGAGCAAAGTTATGTGATTTTGGTTTAGCCCGTAATATGACTATGAGTACACATATGTTGACATCCATAAAGGGTACACCATTGTATATGGCTCCCGAATTGCTCGAAGAGAAACCGTATGATCATCAAGCGGATATATGGTCTTTAGGATGCATTTCATATGAATGTCTGGTGGGTCATCCACCATTTAGTACAACATCAATTCTCCACTTGATAAAAATCATTAAAAAGAATGAGGTATCCTATCCAGGATATTTGAGCCGAGACAGTCGTTCATTTTTACAGGTGAGTCGGAAGTTAATGCTGGGAATTAATCTTGTGGGGAGATTTTAGGTACCGAAGTTCTTTAATCTATAGAAATCTATTCATATGGCCTTCCAATCATTAGTGATATTCAAACTTTTATAATTTCAAAAGACATACAGAAAGTATCTCCCTAAATTAGATAGAAGGAATCCTCATATCCATGGAAACCAATAGAAGTACTTCAAACTATAAAGTTACTTTAAAGGGGGGTTTACTATAAATGACTGTAGGGGGTTTCCATGGCCTTAATAAGTTTTAATAACTGCAGAATACTAATCATGATATTTATCCACCACACCAGCAATCCCAAAAAACCAACCCATATTTTTGTCTGATTTAAATTTTAATAAAAATAACGCTTTTCACTCCTCCCTCCATTACAGGCCCTTTTGGAAAAGGAACCAACAATGCGTGCCAGTTGGGCCCATATTCTATGTCATCCCTTTGTTGAGGGTAAACTGTATATTAAGGCTGGTGTTAAATCGGAGAACTCACCTTTTGTAAATCCACAAAGTGGGAAAGCTAAACTAACCAAGTCCAGCAGCCAAACGAAGGAAAAGTAAGTATTTCTACAAAAAATTGCTTTGCTTAAATACTTTAATTATTCCTTACCCCGTTTCAGCAATCTCAACATTTCCAAAGTGACTCATAAATTATGTTCCACAAAATTGGATGAATCTCAAGACAATATGACTTGTTCACGTGACAGTATTAATGCCATACCGCCCAGTGATGTGGAGGTACTTGAAACAGATGTTGAAGATAATATAATTGTACCATTTGCCAATGAATCATTTCAAGCGGATAAATTGATGTCTAAGAATTTGGTAAATGAAAAATCAATACCACGACCAAATGTTTTAGGTGGAGATATGTTTCAAATACCAGGAGTACATATGCCAATAATAAACTCGCAAACTTGTTTTGTTAATGGCAATAACAATATGATCCTAAATAATTTAGAAGATAATTTTACTCTAAACAATACATTGATGAATGATGAGTTAAATAATGGATATAATGACAATAGTAATATGGTTATCAATACGCTGCAAGAAAATTTAGATGCAAATGATGCGGACAATTTTAGCAATGATAATTACAATAGCAGCGTACAGGAAGCAAATAATACAACATTGAAAATTGCTCAAACAAATGATGGACAACATTTGGAAAATCATTGTTTTAGAGAAAATACACATCGCATAAACAATGACGGTTCATCGGAGTTATCAAATGAAAAGGGATTACGACAAGAATCCACCGAAAAGCTGAAACGTTCTAAACGAGGTGATCAAGAGAATTCCCAGGATAATGAACATAAATCGAATTCGGTTAAGACATCCATTCAATCGTTGGAAGGAAAACATAATACACAGTAAGACTAATTAGATTCTCAACATTTTTATAATGTTTATTTAACACAACATTTCACAGAAATTCTCCACCCTGCCTAATGCCCGGTTGGGATTCATGTGATGAATCTCAAAGTCCACCCATGGAAAGTGATGAGTGGTTGGCATTTTTACAGCGCACAATACGGGAAGTTTTGTATGGTGAATTGGATTCATTGAGACAAAAGAACTTGGTATGCCATATGTCTAGTTTGCATGCATAGATACCTGCTTATTTAACACATATTTTTTTTTTGCTTTTTAGGTCAGTATTATTGTGGCTCCATTGCGCAATACCAAAGCCATACCGAAAGTAATCGAAAGCGTGGCTCAATTGTTGTCTTTGCCGTTCGTTCTAAACGAGCCACTCAGTATTATGGAGTCCATCAATAAGGTGTGATATTTGTTTCCTTAATTTTATATTATCAACATAAAATTTGAGTCGATTTGGTCTGGCACAGTCGTTTTAGAAGATTATTTATTCCTACAAAGATTTTCATCAGCAGTCCCTGATTGTTATGCCACGTCAGGCCAACTTGAGTATAGCTACGACAAGTTAGCAAAGAGATTTGTTTTTTACAAAATGGTGCTGTAGTAAATCTACATGCCGTAACCAATGCCATGTAAATGTTGAGCTAATGGTTAAAGGATATATTTACGAAGAGATATATGTTTTCCCTCGAGTATCCCTGGAGTAGGGACAGATTATTTAAGGTATTAGCTATATTTTACTTTCTGAAGGGAATATATACGATCAATTCCATTGCTAGTTGATTACTAAGGATGTAGTTTCTATGGAGCAGTGATAGTAAAAATATTAAATGTCACCATGACAAGTAGCCTGTGTTTTCTAAGATAAAAGATAAAGATAAAACAACTGCCACAAAGTCAAACTCCATAATTTTTACATTTTTTTTTTTTATTTTATTGAATGAAAGCAAAAAATTTCGGAAATAGAATCAAATTTTAGAATAAGTCTAGATTTGTTCGAATTGGTCACCTTTGGCACGAATTATGGCCTTTAAACGGCCGTCACACGCTGCTTGAACGTTGCTCTGCGGTATTTTAGCCCATTCCCGGCAAAGCGCTTGCTTGAGGTGACCGACAATTTGGTATTTTTTAGTGCCAACCTTTCTTTCCAAAATACTACAGACATAATAGTAAAACGGATTGATATCCGGAGATTTTGGTGGCCATTGTGCACTGGAAATGAAGCGAGGAATCTCATTTTGGAACCATTCTTGGGTGGCGCGTGCTGAGTCCTGTTGGAATGTCCAAGGTCTGCGTGCCCAAGGCTTTAATACACCCTCCAGAATATTTTCGCGATAATATTCGGCATTTATTCTAATGCCATGGTCGATTAATACGTGCGGAGAGCGACCATCGACTGTTATGGCGGCCCACACCATTACCATGGGCGGCGCTTGAGTTCTGGTAGCCAACGGAAGGTGCTGACCTCTTTGGCAAGTAAACACGATCATTTTGTTTTTGTTTGTTCACAAACTGCTGGACAACGAATGTTTTCTCATCGGAGAAAACTAAATTTGGCAGTTCACCACTTTCGGCCAAGCGAAGCAACTCTTTAGCTCTTTTGAGTCTATTTTCTTTCTGTTCCCATGTAAGTTCTTGCACGTTTCGGAATTTCAATTTTACCCCGAGCTCTTTTTTCAATATTTGCCGAATGGAATATTGTGATATGTTCAGCTCACGAGCCATTCTCCGGCCACTGGGACGCTGGTTTCGATCAAGTCGCTTCTTTATTTTTCGAACCATTTCTGCTGATTTTGCTCTTTTCTACCGTCCACTTCTTTGATGTCGGGCTACGCTTAAAGTATCGCGATAACGAGCGATGGTACTAGACACAAAAGATTTATTTACACTTAAATGCTAGAATGCTCTAACGATAGCCACTTGTGGTTTTCCAGCCAAATATAAAGAAATCATACTATCACGCTTGAATTCCATCACGAATAACTTCTTTTTTTGGAAAGTTCTCACCAAAATGCTTTTGAACAGCTGTCGGACGAGTGGCTTAGAAATGACCGCAGTCTGAAGTTGGTTGCAGTTTTTTCATCTCACCCAGTGCATCTGTCGGCCGATACCGACTGATTCTCTTTAACCTTTTCACATTGTAATTATTTTTTATTTCTTTTCTAGGTTTACATTGACTGCAAGATTGTTCCTAATTTAATGTATGCCTCAAAATTACTTATCTACGAACGTTTGGCCAATGACTCGCTCACATCCTCGCCACCACGACAAATACGCACTGTGGATTGTATGCGTGAAGAAGAAATCAAATGTATTTCCCGTCTCTATGAATTGGTCTGCCATTTGGTGCATCTTAATCTACAATTTCTAAATCAATTTTGTGATGCTGTGGCCATTTTGTCGGCAAATGAATTCCTCATAAATTTCCTAAATCAAGACTTTAAAAATACCCATGCTTTACGTATTGCCAATAACATATTGGCTTTGTTATGTTGTGTGCTACGCGAATTGCCGGAAAATGCAGAATTGGTAGAGAAAATAATATTTTCACCGAAGGTGGATCTAGGTCGTTTAATGCAGAGCAATAATGATTTGTTACGTTTAAGAATTTGTATGTTATTACGTTTATTGGGTAGATATAGTTTAAGAGCTCTCCAGGCGGCATGGTCACCGGAAGTGCGGGAAGCCATTGAGCAGTTAAGTGAAGATAATAATGAGAATGTTAAAGTGGTAAGAATGAATTTATTATTTATTATTTTTAAAATTGAATTAATTGATAACTTTTTTATTTTAGGAGGCTGGAAACACCATGGAGGAGTTGCGTAAATTTTCCTTCTACTCCTAAGTATTATTAAGTATTTTTTGAACTTCCATTTACCTTTACTTAAAAAGTAAAGCATTTATTTTGATACTCATCTATATGTATGCCAACTTTTTTTTTAAATTTACATATATATTCTATCAAATGTTTTATACGTAATTATGTATGTTAAGTGATTGTAACAATAGCGTTATGTTCTATGTAAAGAGTCTATCAAGTGTTCCTTGAAAATAATCAATAATATTATCTAAATAATTTCCAAAACGATCAAAATCAAAAATACTAAACACATTGCACTCTTCTTCGTACATTTCGTTTAACTTGGCGATGTCCTTTTCCGACAAGCCTTTGCGTTGGCCCAAACTTGCCGTGGGGTCCTGTAGAAATACACAAAAAGAAAACTTATTATTAATCTGAACAATAGTTCATATTTTTGTCTACAACTCACCAAAGGTTCAATGGTATTTTTGCCATTTTTCGAAAATGCCTTCGAACTGTAATGCATAACACTACTATAATCATATTCCACACCGAAATTTGAAACATATGTTCGGGCATATTTATTGAAATTGTGAGCATGCCCCGGCAGTATATTTTCCCAATTGATTTTCACATATTCATCACGTTCCGTCGATGATTGTTGATGATAGAATCCGAGGGCATGCAGCAATTCATGCACCACAACACCATGTGACACACATTTAGGTGTATTCAGATTTAAAACCTTGAGAGAAATATATTTTAATAATCAAATTATTGTTTGTATTCCAGAATGTTCTTACCTGTCCGCCGGTTCTTCGTCCAACACTGGACCAACATCCAGAGTAATTGCCTTTAAAAACAATCCAATTTTTATCTCCTTTTTCGTATGGACGAAAACGTATGCAAGTTTTGTCGTGATACTCTTTAAGAGCTTTGAGAATGGTCATCGTTTGTGTTTCATCTGCAAAAGAAAGAAGAATGAATTTTGAAATGGTAAGTAGGATGAACAATCAATTTTTATTCTCAATAAATCAAAGTTGTGGGAAGCGGAGAATATAGTAAAAAAGAGAATACGATGGATTTGCGTAGCTCTCAGCGGTTAATTCAATTCTACGTCGAGAAAGGATTTATGGGAATCAATTCAAATGTTACTAAGGCCGGAAATATTAAAAATTCCATTGAATGTCTTGCATATCAAGCTGTCCTTTCTATTCTAGAGTCTAAATGTTAATTTCTCTTTACAACATTTTCACTTGTTAGCCATAGATTTGGCCAGATATGACGACCCCCCATCAATCCTAATTTTAGTTTCGTGGTAATTACCCAATTGACTATCCAGGTTATGAGCCCCGGCTTGTGACTTGATAACCGAAGACCGAAGAGAAGTCACCACAACTCTTCCGTTCAGGAGCAATTAAGCATTTGAAGGTCTTACACAGCCTTTTGGTATAGCCTACGAGGGATGTAGGTCCCATATGGGAGAGGTAGGTAGTGTTTGAAACTCATAAACATAGATCGAAGAGGTGCTCGATTACAATGTGCGACAAAATTTATTTTCTTTTTTCAATAATTACGGGTAAATCCCGCAGATTTTAAAAGTGGATCAATATACAGGGTGAGATGAAAGAACTGCAACCAAATTCAGACTGCTGTCATTTCTAAGCCACTCGTCCGACGGCTATTAAAATTTTTCCAGTGATAGCTCATTATATTGTTTACAAGCGTACAAAAGCATTTTGGTGAGAATTTTCCAGAAAGAAAGTTATTCGTGATGGAATTCAAGCGTGATAGTGTGATTTCTTTATATTTGAGTGGAAAACCTCAAGGGGCTATCGTTAGAGCACTGCAACATTTAAATGTGAATAAATCGTTTGTGTCTCGTATCATCGCTCGTTACCGTGATACTGGTAGCGTAACCCGACGTAAAGGAAGTGGACGGAAGAAAACAGGTTCGAAAAATAAATAAGCAACTTGATCGAAACCTGAAACCCGCATCGCAGTGGCTGAAAAATGGGTCGTTAGCTGAACATATCGCAATATTCCATTCGGCAAATATTGAAAAATGAGCTTAGAATAAAGCCATTGAAATTCCAAAAAGTGCAAGAACTTACACCGCAACAGAAAGAAAATAGACTCAAAAGAGCTAAAGAGTTCCTTCGCTTGGCCGAAAGTGGTGTACTGCCGAATTTGGTTTTCTCCGATGAGAAAACATTCTTTGTCCAGCAGTTTGTAAACAAACAAAATGATCGTGTTTATTTGCCAAAGAGGTCAGCTGAAAATGTGAATCTTTTGTTGGCCACCAGAACTCAAGCGCCAGCCATGGTGATGATGTGGGCCGCCATAACAGCCGATGGTCGCTCTGCGCTCGTATTAATCGACCGTGGCATCAGAATAAATGCCGAATATTATCGCGAAAATATTCTGGAGGTTGTATTAAAGCCTTTGGCACGCAAACATTTTGGCCGCAGGCCTTGGACATTCCAACAGGACTCAGCTCCAATGCACTCAGCACGCGCCACGAAAGAATGGTCACAAAATGAGGTTCCTCGCTTCATTTCCAGCGGACAATAACCATCAAAATATCCGTGTCTGGAGTATTTTGAAAAGCAAGGTTGGCACTAAAAAATACCAAAGTGTCGATCACCTCAAGCAAGCGATTCGACGCGAATTGGGCCAAAATACCGTAGAGCAACATTCGGGCAGCGTGTGACGGTTTCATTGCCATTTGAAGGCCATATTTCGTGCCAAAGGTGATTAATTCGAACAAATCTAAACTTATTCTAAAATTTGATGCCATTTCCGACATTTTTTTTTGCTTTTATTCAATTGAATTAAAAAAATGTAAAAATTATGGCGTTTGTCTTTGTTGCAGTTTTTTTATTTCACCCTGTATATCCCATTTTCACACATATTAATATTATAATATAATATTGTATTTTGGCACATTCCCGGCGAAGCGCTTGCTTTAAGTAATCGACACTTTAGTATTTTTTTGGACCAAAGTTCTCCAGACACAATAGTCTAACGGATTGGTATCCGGAGATTTTGGTGGTCATTATGCACTGGAAATGAAGCGGGGAAGCTCAATAAAATAAAAAATAATAAAAATATTGTAATGTATGAAATTTGTAGGGAAACGGTGGCCAAACTTTGATCCTTTGTGGGCAGGTACCAGAAGGAATAGTCCGATCTCATCCACCTTTATAACAGATCTTGTGTTTATGGAAATATTAAGATGTGCCATGTCTGAATGGAATCGTATGTTAATTTCATGTTTTATGAGCTCCATGAATATTCAAAATATTGACCCTTTGTGGGGGAGGTACCAGAAGGAGTCCACCGATATATTCGATCTTCACACCAGACTTTGTGCCAATAAAAATATTGTGATGTGTGTAATTTTAAGACAATCGGACTCTTACATCACATTTTATAAGTGTTTTAATTATTCAAAAGATGGACCCTTTGTGGGGGAGGTCCTTGATGCAGTGGACCGATATTGTCCATTTTCGAACCTGACCTAGCACTGATGCAATTGACAGGATTTGCAAATTTGAAGCAAAATCGGACTATCCTTTCCCTTTCTATGCAGTAAATTATTTTCTTTGAAAATGTTGGCATTTTGTTGGGGGAGTTACCAGAAGGAGTGTACCGATGTTGCCCTTCTCTGAACTCGATCTAAGTTTGACAAAAATATTGCGATGTACCAAGTTTGGATCGAATCGGATACTCCCTTCGAGATTTATCGTGAGCACCAGCCAGCCAGACAGACGCACAGATAAATGTCCTGAAACGAATTTGGTCCAAAGAGACCTAGGGTCTAAAGCCGCTATTTCGATTAGGCACCTTTTGGTCATATCAAATGATATATACCCTCTCTAACCATATAGCTGAGGGTATAAAAATCCTGTAGTTTCTCATGCATTCACTGTCCATCACTTTGTCATTGTTTTTTTTTTTAACACACAAAACATGTGGGTGTGTGTGTGTTCGATACAGCACCACGTTATAAATCAATCCAAAACAAAATCAATTGCAGGTTGTAAATAAAATATTGCGGACGTTTCACTTTTTTTGTTTTTGTTTAATTATACTCACTGAAATCTTGGCTATCTATGTAGAATGGCACCGTGGCATCTGGCCAAGTAGATTTTTCATTCAATAGGCCATTGCGTAAATATTCACGATGCAACATGATGTCACCTTCAAATAGTCCACTGTGCTCCCATATGTGATCCTCGTTTGCATCATTCCAAAATTCAAAAGCTGGACCTGCAAAGTGGCGGAGTGGCAATTTTGATGAGATGTGATTATTAGCGTTTGCATTGGCTTCGAAATAGTTACCACATACTGTTGTGTTGTCTCAACATGTGCATATTTGGACCCCATCGAGGGTTGGGAGGTTTGACGGGATTCCAATTGATGACGGCCGCCGATTGGCATTGTCTTGGCTGTTGTAATGTCAATAGCAAACTAATTTGTAAAAACCAACGCAATAAATGCATTTTATGCTTAAATGTTGGGAGAACCAAGAATGCCATGGTTGGGCTTCTTTTCTTTAGACCAAATACACAATTGGCTTTCTTTTCCCTAACCAATGACGAATTGAAATGCCTTCAAGAAAATCGAAATTAACTTCACTTTCTTTGTCAACTGACAACAACCTAAAGAAAGACTTTCAAAAATATTGAGGGTCTTTTATAGTCTCGGTTCAATTCGCCGCCAACTCTTTGTACACTCCTACGCTGTACTCTCCGACAAAGTGACACCGTGGAATTTGTATGTGATTTTTTAATAAGAACTTTCAATTGTTTTTCGATTAACAAATCCATCCCATTCACCTTCGAATGAAGAAAAAAGAAAATCGCCGAAGACGACACAACAAAAATCCATTCAACACTTAGCGCACAATTCATTCCGATTGGTAATAAAAATGTTTTTGAATATCATTAAAAATAAAAAAAGCGGAATTGTCAAGTGCCCAGCAAAAGTACGGTGCGTCTGCGCATTGTGGTTCATGCAATCAGCCAATAACTTAAATATGTAAATTGAAAGTGCTTTTTTACACATACATCAAAATGGTCGGTGTTATTGTGGGTGGGAAGGCGTTTTTAAAAAATATGTGTGGGTGTGTGCTTTCGGATAACAGTTTTTGGAACTTGAGAATTGAAATTCGCACAAAATGGCTTTTGAAAGCTTTTTGTAATAAGTTTAGTATATGGAATGGTTATAAGAAACAAAAATATTCTTTGGGATCCTTTTATTCTGGGTATATACAGGGCGAGATGAAAACTGCAACAAATTCAAATGCCATAATTTTTAATTTTCTTTTTAAATTATATTTATAAAATTAAATTAAATATTGAATGAAAGCAACAAATGTCGGAAATAGCATCAAATTTAAGAATAAGTTTAGATTTCTTCGAATTGGTCCACTTTGCAACGGATTATGGCCTTCAAATGGCCAATGAAACCGTCACACGCTGCCCGAATGTTGCTTTGCGGTATTTGGCCCATTCCCGGCGAAGCGCTTGCTTGAGATGATCGACACTTTGGTATTTTTTAGTGCCAACCTTGATTTCCAAAATACTCCAGGCACAATAGTCCAACGGATTGGTATCCGAAGATTTTGGTGGCCATTGTGCTCTGGAAATTAAGCGAGGAACTTCATTTTGTAACCATTCTTGGGTGGCGCGTGCTGAGTGCCATGGTGCTGAGTTCTGTTGGGAAGTTCAAGGTCTGCGGCCAAATTGTTTGCGTGCTCAAGGCTTGAATACACCCTCCACATTATTTTCGCTACAATTTTCGTCATTTCTTCTGATGCCAAGGTCGATTAATACGGGCAGAGAGCGACCATCGGCTGTTATGGCGGCCCACACCATCACCATGGCCGGAGCTTGAGTTCTGGTGGCCAACCGAAGGTGCACATTTTCAGCTGACCCCTTT